ACCTAGGTTCAATCCCTGTGGAACGCCAGATGTATCGAAGTTTGGCATAGATGATTTTGGTAACGTACTGTTACGACACCCTTTGTGCCGACCGACCTATGCGCTGGTGGAGATGGGGTATACAAAAAAGACGGTAACTTACTTAAATCTAATGAAACAGGAAATACACTGGACGCGACACAGCGCCCTTCAATCACAGATTAATTACCAAACAACACCTTAGCACCTTAGCTTAACATGTACACAGTGGGTCGCACACAGCGCCCTTTTCGATACGAATTACCACCATACAGGTTGCTTCCTCCCTCCTTTGTAGGCAAGTCCTGCGGGAGGATTCGTGGGGGGGGAAAAATCTGGCACGGCGGTTCCTCTTGTTTTCGTGACGCCCCTTTGTCGGCTCAGTGGGACGAGTCGGGAGGTTTGGAGGCCTGAGGAATTCTTACAGTCTCCCCAATGGGGTTTTTCGTTCTTCTTCCAAAAGAAATGAGTAACACGCCACGTCGAGGAGGAAAAAAGTTGTAGAAAAAACAGAAAAGAAACCGAAAACTTGGCTGTCTGGTTCTATCGCTCACTCACTCGCACCCCCGGTGTAACTTTTCCGGGCTGTCGCTCCCCCAAAAGTTACAACCCCTTATTTTGTGCGTCCGCTGCCGACCGTTACTCGATTTCTGTTTTAACACGATCCCGTCGGACGAGTTGCGGAAATTCCCGATTAGGCGACCAATCGCGCTTTCCCTGCTCAAAACGCCACTCGTTCACCGCAGTCTCTCACTTGCGCCTGACTCGCTGTTATCTAGGCAACCCCTTATTTTCGAACCGTAACAGTACATACTGCTTACGTATAATCAACTAAGAAGAAAATAGTTGCAACATTGCAACTGGAAACCCATTTCTTCTTGGTCTTAGCACGTATGGATAAAACGACAAACAGGGCTAAGGGGATTTTCCCGACTTTGAAGCGATTCACAAACAAAAAATGGACAAATGCATTAAGGGTAATCTGAAATCTATCGACGCACGATCGTCTAATTTTGACCTACGGTATCTGAATATTGGGGCATGCACCTTCGCTTCGGCAGCAGCTGCAACAATGACCTCATGCTTTTTGCCTCTTGATGTTCAACTAACGGCAGTATCAAGAGGTCAGGCGATAAACTTTAAAAGTATGGACATTAGTAGTCTGGATCAAACTAAAGCAGAACTTAGAGAATCAATAAACAGTGAAGTTATTGACACATGGCAAGCCAGATGGACACTGTTGAATAAAGGCGAGACAACAAGTAGATTCTTTCCAAGGATGGCGGCGCTCAAAAACCCGATCCTGATAAGCCCCAGTTTAACACTAACTGGACATGGAAATTTCCAGTGCCACTTGCAGAGGAATGGCAAAGCACGGTGTCAGAAAGACAGAGAGGAAGACAATCCGATACATAAAATCTTCGCTTGCCCGAGCTTCGAAGCGCAGAGAGAGATCCTGGTGAGCCAACTCAGAGTATGGTCCTGCACACCCAACCGTGTAGGGAAATTGAAGTCTGAAGACTAGAGTAGGATAGCATAGATAGGATACTCAGATATACTCACTCAATGTCTAAATAGATAGATTAGTTTGTGCATGTGAACAACATCATGTAGTTTAAGTTAATAAGTAGAATAATTCCAAAATTGTATAAATAAGTAAATGTTGAGCATCCTTTAAAGAACTGGGCTTTGACGAAATATTTAGGACAAGAGTGAGCCTTCTAGGGATTCGCACTTGTTTTAGGGTAGTATAATGTACTAAACGAGTTATGAATAAAAGCCCTTCGGGGCATTATTTTTTAAAATATTTTTAATTTTTTTTGTCTTAGCACATCCGGATCTATGATGATTTCCGAAATAAAAAAAGATAATATTTCCAGTATTCACAAATATATTGCATTATAAATGTCAAGAAACAATTAATTTTACAACTTAATGCTTTTGAAAAAAATGACAAATCCTTTGTAAATATTTATACACTTTACAATCGAGTCCAATAACTAGGTACATACCTGCATCCCGCGGCCGTTTACATATACCTTTCTCTAAGATCCGCCGTACGATTGTTCGGTGAATAAAATCGGCGTGGGTAAAACTCAACAATTTAGTTCTTAGTAACTCGGATTTACACGACTAATTAAAGAGCGATTATGTACAAAAGAATTCCAGCACAACACTCACTGGGTTTTCTCGACACTAGTTGGACTCGACTTGCTAACTGAATTCAGCTCCTTGTTGTTTGGACAACATGCGGTCCTGCTCGAAACGCCTACGTCACCGCTTCCAGACTTCTCTGGAGTAGCCATTTGCGACTTCCGCTCCGGGCGATGAGTTACACTACATACTAGAAGAAACACATGCATACTAGAAGACCCATAGGCGGCGTATGGGTTTATTTCGTAACAATATAAATACATATCTTCTGTAAACCTTTTACCTTCTAATTTTTAAAAAACTTTAATTTCAGTTCAATATTCATTCTTTTGTGTTTGAAAAAATGTTCGATCATTGCATAATTAAACCCACAAAGTTCTTCCCGCGAATTTTCAAATTTTATTAAAAATTAATATTATCTATTAATGTCTGAAAAATTCCACTACATTTCCAGGTTTTTTGCGCCATCGTCGCTACGCCGAACTTTGGTCCGCTACGTCTGGCAACACTGGGTGAGTGAGTAGTTGTCTGTTTTCTTTTGTCGTGTTGCTGAACGCAGTTCAATTATACAATCTTCGATACAACGTGGTCACTGACCACGCTGCTTCTTATGGAGCTATATTTGACTCTGTCTGTTTTAAGCGAATTTTGGTATACGTTTGTTCACTCCCACTCCCACTCAAAGGAAATATTTTGCGTGAGGTCAATATTTAAATTGACCCAACAAACCGCGAACGACAATTGTTGTCTTGTTGATTTTTTTGTTCATAACTTGTCATGTATACGATTTGACAAATGTAATTTGGCCAAAAAATATTGTATTCAATTTTTATTTTTTATGGGTCATTTTTTAGGGGTCGTTGACCAATTGACCCCATGGACGAGCCGCCACTGTCGCACTTTACATCTAAGGATTAAAATATTTTCCCCGTCCGCCACAATTTACATTCGTCGACTTTAAGTTAATAGTTCTCGTTTTATACCGACGATGTTTTATTTGATGTGCAAATACGAGTACCTACCCAAGATTTTAACTGCATTCTTTTGAAGGATAAATGTTTTCTTTACTTTTACGTTTTGGCCCTAAAATATAATTTTGTACCTTCATTCAAATTGAAGCTGGCGTAATAGATACTAAAAAGCTTTATTTTCTGAGATAATTCTTCGGGGCTGAAGCTTCGTTGTGGAATATCAGCTTCTATTTTCTTTAGATATGAAAAAATATGTATTATATTATTCTTTTCAGTACTTATTAGTTGTAGTCTATTCGAAGAATAAGATTTTATCTACTTTAGTGCCACGACATGAATGCCGTATCTGTCTAATTTGTCGAACAAAACGCTGCGATTAGACAGTCGAAGATCCTCTTGAAACAGAAAAAATGCCATGCTCCAAATGCTGTAGGGTAAACTGGGTCCAGAATGTTTGTTTTAAAATAAAAAAATAGCCATTTCAACAGACGACCATGTTGTTCTTTATTAATTAAATTTTCTTTAATAAAAAATCATACACTTTTCATTCGTTTGACCCAGACAATTTTTCATTTAAGAAAAAAAATATTCTGAGAGGTTTCATTAACTTAGAGCAGATTTGCTGTGAGTGAAGGGTGAATACAGATATTTTCAAGTAGATCCCCCAATGTAGGGAACGATGATAGTTGACGAAGAATTGAGAAAGTTCTGGAATATTCTATCCAAGGGGGACAATTTGACAGTATATAACTAACTATTCCATCATCAAATAAATAATGCATCAAAGCAAAGTTCTCCACAAATTTTTGTGAGTTTTTCTGAAATCAATATTCAGTTAAACGTCTCCCAGCAAGAAGCTAAAAACTGCAAAAGTTATCGCGATTAAATGTAAAAGTCTAGAGAGAAAGTAAAGATCAAGAAGAAAGTAAAGACAAAAAACTGTTTCCAAGTAAGTTGAGTGTAAATGACTTAAAAAAACGATGGAGTTTTAGAAATAAACGGTACGAAAAAGGTAGACGTCGAAGTGGGACCAGGCAGCTGGTATTTCAGCAAGGCAGCTGAACATGGATTAGGCTATCATCGGTCACTGACTTAAGAAGAATATCGAAGTGGTCCCGTTTCAGAATTCAGGAAAGGGACCAATGCAAAAGAACGCTGGAAGTGCGTTGGGAACGATAGCTTTAAAAAAATTCTGGTGATCCCTAGCTTAAAAAAGGGAAGTACTCTAGAAAGGAACAATAAGTACTTTAAATAGAGCTCTCAAGAAGAGTCAGTTGCTGAAGTAGTCATGGCTGTGGGTGTCATAAATTGTGAAACATAAAATAATTAGAACAACTTTAAAATTTGTCTGATTCCACAGTACCATGAAAAATTTTGTATGTAACACGAGCGCAAAATGTAATAGGCGCGTTGGAGTTTTTCACACCTCAACTTTCGAATTCGCGCCTGATGCTTTATTTTCATTTTCGCTCTAGATGCATGAATAACTTATCTTAAAAACTGCTATCGTTTATGTTCTTCCGGTAAAATTACTGTGATTAAAGGAGATTTAAAAAATCTTGTACGTTCAACCAAGAGGTTAAAACTGTTTTGGTTTTGTTGTTACAAAACAAAACTACAGCCCTAACTCGTCTAGAAGCATAAAATTAAACTCGTTGGCGAACATAAAATAAAAAAGTGCGGAACGAAGATTAGAGGTTTTGTCGTAACCTAATGCCGAAAGAGCACTGCAGCAACAGCGTCCTAGGGTAGTCATTCCACGCTTGCCCCTTGAAGCGCCGCCCCTGTGTGTTGCCGGTGCACCTACGGGAGTCTGCCGGAGTTCCATTCCATGTGCCTCCGACCAGTAAACAATACGGTTGCGCCCTTTCGATACGCCGGTCGACGGAGCTCTTGCGGTGCGTTCGCTCTTCGCTCGAATTCAGAAGTCGCTTCTTGCACATGCGAGACATGTGTTACGGACGCGCATTTATCTCTCGTCAAGACTAATTGCTTAGCTAGTGATGTGATTTTTTTCAGCTTTAATAAATCCGTGTTTCGCTCCGGTGCCCGTTAATTGAGGAGAATTAGTGCAGGTGACGGAGGGTTAAATCTCCACAGGAAAAGGTAGCGTAAACTCATTAACTTTCATTAGGTGTGCGGACCATCATTTCGTGCCCTCAGGATCGTGGCCCATAAAATAATATACTCAAATCGGTGCTCGTAAATTAATTCAGATTAATTTATCTTGATTAGATGATTTGGGAAAATTGCATGTGGAAGTCTGGAAATTAATTCGCTTAATTAAGTAATGCGGCGTATTTTTTGTATTTGGGGGGAAGTTGGATTCAAATTAGATGAATATTTTCGAAGGTACGAGGAGATACAAATCAGTGGATAACATTGGTTTATCTTGATGGCAACGGATGTCAGACCTAAAAGGATTAAATGTTATGGAGTTCTGTATACGGCGGCAGTCGTAACAATTAAGAATGAAAACTTTATTCGCGCTGCGAAAGGGGACATTTTTATACTCTTTTTTTTTAATTTAGTTAATACATTGTTGCTTAGATTATATCTGCAAAATTAAATACATGCTCCAATCAAACTTAATGATTCTTATTTGCATTCGCAGTACTAATAGTACTTCCGGTGAATCATGTATTATCTGCATAAATTACAGACATTAAGTACGCACTCATTATGTTTCATTTGTCAATAATTCCGATTATTAAAATTCTTAATTGTTACAGAATTAATGAAATCTCCAGAATTAAAAAAGGCCTGTATTTAAGCTCGAAATTTACATTAAATGTTAAATACACAACAGGACTGGTCATGTTGCGTTCCCATCTGCTTATCCATATTTATGACCCATATTTACTGAAACCCCCAGAATTAACACTAATTAAATCATAATTGTATGAACAAAATCAAAAGTTATTTTTGTTACAAGCATTAAAGTTGTGATTTAGTCGAACAGGAAAAGCCACTTGGAAATGTAACACAATTTTGTCGCCGGTTTAAGGATGTTAAAAATGACGAGGCTCGTGCTAGAATCCATATGCTGCGATTCGGTTGTCAAAACTACATTCTATTGACTCTCAAAGAACTCAAAAAATTGACATTTTCGGACCGTAGCCAAAAAAGTATTTATTTAAATTTTCATATTAAAAAAAAGATTCTACTTTAACTAAATACACAGAAATATGTTAGTTATATAGTTTGTTGCGCCACAGTTTTTATTTGGCAGGTTTGTAAAGTCATCAATATTTGGTATTAGTTTTATTTTTTAATGAAATTTCTGTTGATCTTATAATAACATAGAGAAAAAATATACACACTTTTTGGTGTTAACATGTTTTTAGGGTTTGAAGTACCCAGCAAAATTATTACGTCTAAGTGGTTACGTCTAATCACTTATTTATAATGGTTTTTAGTCTTACTTGTTTCATTAATAAAGCACATAATTCAAGTAAAAGACTTGAGTAGTAATATCTGAGTATATGATGTCTTTATCAAAGCGAAAGCCCTAGTGTTAATTGGGATGAATTCCATCAAAAATTGCTTGCAGATTTTATTGACTTCCCTTTCAAAATTAATTAAAAGTTTCACACTACATAAATTTAGAGTAAATTGTATCGTTATTTTCAAATCAATAAAAAATATCAAATTAATGAGCTTGAATACGGCACGTCATATGTTGGAAGATGTATGTCAAACTACAAATGCGATTTTTTTTAATACTCTATCGTAAACTAGGACGTAATTAAGTCTTATTATTGCAGGCAACTCGCATTTGAGTTTCTCCGTACCATATTCCAACCATTATTACAGGTAGTATTTCATTTTCTATAAGTTCTACTGTAGTATGACTGAATTTCCACAACTTAACCTTCTAGACTTCGACTGTTCAGATTATAAACCGAGAACACTAAATACGGTGATTAAATTTTCAGGCAATAATGCTGTTGCACAATCTGGTATCTCCATTCTGAACCTAATTTACTTGTTAACGGGTTGAAGGCAATTTTGTTAAATATTTTGCAACAATGTTGAGTGGAATTTCATACCTACTCGTAAACTGGTATAAATGTAAAAATGCGGATATTTGTACTCTCATTTTTGCGCAATGTCGTCATTATTATTTGAGATAATCTAAACAAAAATGTGCCTCTTAAACGTATGATTAAACAAAAATGTAGTTTGATTGAGAGTTCCAATTAGGCGCGAATAATTTTAATTAGTAGTGTTTGATTAGTCACGTCACTATTGAGACATTATTTAGTCATAACTAGGAAATTTTGGTCTATAATTTTCACAACAAAAAATACATAATTGTAGTTATTAAGTTGAAAATGAATAGTTAATAGTTTTATCGTGTTTTAAAATCTGTTTTAGTGTTGAGTGATCGCATTTATAAACAGAAGTGTTACTTTTTTTTAATTTATTGAAATATGAATATAATAAATGTATGTCCAAGTAAGAAAATATGCAGTAACACATTAAAAATACCTTCTCGTTTACTTATAATAAAATACGTCGTAATTTCAAAGTGATATTTTTTGCAGTTGCTCGCCACATACTAGAAGGTGACTGTCAGCATACAATAATTTATTGATAAAACCATTAGCAAGCTTTGATTATTATGTCGAGATAACTGTAAGTGACTTTAGTAGTTATTATAACATTAAAGATAACTGAACTATAACGAGTGAATTTTTCAGTTGCTGTTTTATTGCAAATTGACTTGAAAAGAACATCTTAGACATTTATTTTATTGATTACAGAATTTAAAAGGCAATACCTGCTAGGAGCTTCAATACTTAGACGTGGCTTTCAAAGAAATTCTAACACAAAGTATTTTATTTTTATACCACATACCTAATTTTCCATTGCAACTAACTATGCCGAACTTTATTGATTAAAAGCATTTTCTGTTGGTATAATAGGCTTATCTCTCTTATAAAAATACCTCCCGTATTATTATATCATGTGAAAAGGAATATGTATTTCAGAATTTTTTTTTTGTTATTCCCGACTTTGTGTCCCCCAAGCAGATACGCTCATGTTACATATTTGCTTTACCGGAAGTTTATATTATATGTATATGTTTTGATACAAAAAAATATCAAAAGAGCTAAAATTTACAACAGGAGAGTGTTTAAGTCAAAAGTGCCAAGAAAAATCTTTTAACAAGAATGTGTCAACAACTGATTTGCTGTGTCAGTTTTGATTATGTAAAACTTTATCCATTTAACGGAACACACCCGACGAGCATTTTTGAATCATTGTGATTTAAAAGGCTCGGAGTTCATTCTTTTCCCCAACGTCCTCTTTTTATGTGTATTAGTATGAAAAATGCAAAATCCGGAAAATTATTTATTAGGTTATTCTCCGTTTAAATCTTGACGGCTGACGTAGTCCCATAACTGAGATTAAATTAGAAAAGCATATTGCATGTAAAAACGAAAAATCGACCGGTGATATTTTACTTCCACTAAATTAAAAATGTCGGTTTCACTTCCTTCCGTCCTACCAGTTTCTCTTGGGATTTTGCAAGTCGGGAAAATCATGAAATTGGAGTTGTTTATTTAATTACTGCATTTGGAGCTTTCGGAAGTTTTGGTTTTTTCATAACACAGTTATGCGGGATTCTTTTCCAGGCCATTACACCAAGAAAAAGATAAAATGGTGGATTTGTTCCGTTTTAGGTTTGACCTTTCGGATTTAAATGCACATGTGTTGGTGTTGGGTTTAATTATTGTGTAATATAAACACTCCAGACATTTAGTTGAGGCGAATTAAACCTGAACTGAAAGCTTTCTCGACTTCTCGCATCAACAAATACCGACGGTAGTAGACAACGAAAAATAAACATTTTGCTAATAATATTATGATTGGAATATCAAAGTGAAACGTCTGAATTGAATACCTAATAACTACTTCAATTAATGCTGGTATTTATTGATCGAGGGGTTTTATCTTTGACATGGATGAGAAATTCGTGTTTATTTAATTTAATTTGTTGACTTTTAACAAATTTGTTTAGATAATTGTAAAGTACCGCCGGAATTGTTAATTGTCAATATTATGAATCCTGAGTAGTCGATAATCATTATTGAGTTCGGGGATTGAAACTATAAAGTTTATTAGCACCGAATAATCTTTACGACGCTCTACGTCTTCCCTAAACGTTTCGACTAAACTCCCGAAGTGCTTTCTTTAGTAGTTACGCTAACAAGGAATTTGTTATGAAAGCAAAAATAATGGAATAAAGCACTTGACATTTATTTTTTTTTGCATAATGTTATTTTATTATTTTTTGAAATTATCGTATCAGTATCTAATTAAAGCCTGGAAAATGACATTAATTTTTTATCCGTAGAAGGATTCACATTCAAGTGATTATAGGGTTCTTCTTGTATTTATTTTACCATTCTAGAATTTGCTTTAAATTTTTTTGGTAACGTCATCAAAATGGGAATGAATTTTTAAATTTGTTGGATAATTTTGATTTTTACTTTCCGAGCAAAAAGCTAAGGAAGTATTGTATTTCAGTTCATCGGCCGACTGGCTACTTTAATGTTTTCTGGACATTTCATGACCCCTAGAGTATGAAAAAATAGGTCCCCGTTTCCGTCTGTTTATCCTATTGTTTTTGTTAGACTGTATTTCAGGGATAAGGGAAGTTCTGTCGAATTTTAACTTTCGACCAATATTTTTTACAAAAATCTGCACATGCAGGGTTAAAATATATTCCCAATATTTTGTACATTTTAGACAGTATTTGTCGATCAAAATTTTAAGATAGATGGTAAAACGCTAATCAAAATTTGGCTAATCATCTCTACCAACGATTTATTGACGTCATCTCCGAAATTTACAGTAGTAAATATTGTTTAAATTTTATAAAATAGATACTCGTGCACTTGTGGTTTACGGACCCCTGTTGAGTTTTTATCCTAGACATCCAGTTTTGTGGAGAAAAAATCAAAATTAACTTTGAAACTGCAAAACCAAATGTTCTGAAATTTTGCAAACGTTTTAAGGTTATCTTAAGTATGGTAAATCGTTAATCAAATTTTTTTTTATGCCTCTCCAAAACAATAAGGACATTATTTTAC